ATCCCTGTGGGATTCCCTGGGAGCTGCATCCCTGTGGGATTCCCTGGGAATTCCAGCTGGGATGGGGATGAAGGGCCCTGCTCCCCTCTGGAGCTTTTCCTCCAGCTGAGCTCCCGACCTGCAGCTCTGCCCCTCTCTTGTGGCTTGATTCATTTATCATTTATCATTTATTCCCCTTTTTTTTGTTGTTTTTTTTCTCCTGTTTTCTGGCAGTTTTCGATGTGCTCTGCAGTTTCACCTCTCCCATTTTTTGTTTCCACCTCAGTGTTGCACCAAGGTGTTGTCAGCTCTGGGAATCAACCTCAGCTCTGGGTCAGGGAACCTTGTTAAAACCCACAGGTACTTAACAACTTTTTGAGTTTTGGGTGACTATTTTGGTTTTTTTTTTTCCTTCCTCAGCTCTGTGAGGGATAGAATCTGGATCCGGAAGAGGAGAAATGGGAAAAAAAAAAACAACTAAAAAACCAAAGAAAAAGAACTTTTGGCCTCTGAAGTGGTGGGGTGGTTTTTGTCTTAAAAATCACAGAGTGGGTGTTGCAGGCAGCCCCTGAGAGAGCCCAAAATCCTGAATATTCACTCAGGAGCTCTCCAGGCTGTTGGATGAGGCTGGTGCTGCCTGGACAGAGGCGGTTTGGGGTTGGTTGGGAGTTAATTAAGCAGTAATTAGCAGTGGGGAGTGGGGCAGGCTGGAGCTGCTGGGGTCAGAGCTGGCAGAGGGAGATTTTTGGGATAAATGCAGGGAGAGTTTTATGTCCTTTACCTTTGGGGAATGCTTCTTCCCCTCTGGGTTTAGGGATGAGAAGTTGATTTGGAAGAATAAAGCTAGGAAAAACAAAGAAACCCAAAAAAAACCAACCAAAAAAGGGAGAAAATTCTAGGGAAACAGGAGATCAGGACAGCTGGAATTCATCTGGAATTCATCCTCCCAGCAGGAATTTTGGGAGTCAGAATTCCCAGGAATCCTGGGAATTGGCACAGATCCAGCAGATTCCCTGGGCTGGGCAGGGTTTTTTGGTGTCTTGGAGGGATTTAAATAATTTTAAATCCAATTTTAGCCACTCCAGCTGTGTGCTGTCCTGTTCACTCCTGGAGTGCATATCTGGTTTGGGAAGGGGATTTTGGCAGCGGCTCCAACTTCCCTGGGCTGGTTTTTTTGGTGTTTTGGAGGGAATTAAATCAATTTAAATCAATTTTTTAGCCACTCCAGCACCCCCATCCCATCCAGCTGTGTGCCAGTCTTGTCCTGCTCATTCCTGAGGCATTTTTGGGGCACAAAATTCCCCTGGGAGCAAGGGAGGGGAGAAATCCTCGGGAATGGCACCAAATCTTCCTCCCGAGCCTGATTTTAGCCACCAGGGCACTGCTGCCCTTTTCTGTCAGGATTCCCTGTAGAGCTTTGGGGCAGAAAAGTGAAATTTGGGGTTTTTTGGTGTCACTAAATCCCAAACTGAGGGATTTTATCCCTGCCTTTGTGCCAGGAACCAGCAGGAATCAGCAGAATTGTGTTCCCTGCAGGTTGTTTTTGACCACAGGTTGTTTATCCTCTGGATATTCCAAATTTTCCCTGTTGGAACAGCAAAATGTCTGCTTCCTATAAATTATTTTGGAACAAAACCACCCTAAAACTGGCAAAAAAAAAAAAAAAATTGTTTCCACCTTCCAAAGCAAGCAGATTTTGCTTGTGGAGCTCTTCCATGCTCAGAGCTGAAAAATTGTAATTTTTTTTATTTTTTTAGATTCCTCAGTGTTTAATTCTGCCTGAAGCACACGTGGCTCACGCCTGGCAGGATGTGTTCCCAAAAATCCATATAAATATCCCCGTCGTCCCTCGGAGCAGATTCTGCACTCTGCAGTCGCCACTTTCAAACATTTTGCACTCCCTTGGGAGGTTTTTTGGGGGTTTTTTGGGTTTTTTCCCCCTTTTTTAGCACTCAAACCCATCCTGCCCCAGCGTGCGCTTGTGAGTTGCCAAAGGTTTATTTTTTGACGTTGTTGCTTGCCACATCTGAAAACAAAAAAAAATAAGAAAATAAGTGTCTTAAATGTGGTTTTTGAGTAGTTTTGTGTGCGTGGAGCAAACTTTTGGGCTGGATTTCCGAGATTTCTGTGCTGAGGTTGTGCTGCAGGAGGTTTTCATCTCAAAGCAGAGGAAATGACCCTTTGGAAATCAGGGATGTGAGGGGAGCCCATTCCAGCAGTGCTGTACCAATAACTGGAAGCTGTTGTTGTTTATTTTGATTTTTTTTTTATTTTCCTTTCCTTTGGGGTGATTTTTCTGTGGTTTTGGGGTGATTTTTCTGTGTTTTTTTGGAGCGCTGTGCGTGGTTCCTGGAGTGTGCTGGGCTCCAAAATTCCAACCCCTGCCTTTGCCCTCAGCTCCTTGGGATGTGTTTTGGGCTTTTTTATTTTTGGAGTTTTTTAAATTTTTATTTTCCCCTAGCATGTCCTAACCCCCTCCAAGCTTTGAACCTAAAATCGTGTCGACTTTTTAATTTTCTCTTCTTGTTGTGCTGTTGTTCAGTTTTACAGTATTTTTTTCCTATGTATAAAATATACTTTTGAAACGTTTTCATTCTCCGTGAGCAGGGTTGAGATTTATTCTTCGTAACTTTGAAAAATTCTACAAATCCTTTGGAAAAATTCCTAAAATTCCCTTTTCCAACCTGTTTTGTAGCCTGTTGCAGTGTTACCAGATGGCCTTATGTACGTCACAGTGCTTTGTGATGGGTACAGTAGCACATTTAATGCTTCTTCCCCTCTGTTTTTAGAGCTGAGAAGTTGATTTGGAATTATAAAATTGTGGGGGAAAAAGGGGAAAAAAAAAAACAAAAAAAAAAAGGGAAAAATTCTCGGGAAACGCAGCGGTCGTGTCCCCTAAAGGAGATCAGGGCAGCTGGAATTCATCATCAAAAAGTAAAAAAACTAAAATATTCCAGGGAAAAACCAGCAGCCCTGTGTGAGATCAGGGCAGCTGGAATTCATCTGGGGGTGAATCCTTCTCCAGCAGGAATTTTGGGAGTCAGAATTCCCAGGAATCCTGGGAATCAGCACAGATCCAGCAGCTTCCCTGGGCTGGGCAGGGTTTTTTTGTGTCTTGAAAGGGTTTAAATGGGTTTAAATGGATTTAAATCCATTTTTTTAGCCACTCCAGCACCCCCATCCAGCTGTGCGCTGTTCCTGGAGTGCACATCTGGGTTGGGAGGGGGATTTTGGGGTGGGATCCCCGCTGGAATTTTTGGGCTGAGCTGGGTTCTTGGCAGGTTTTTGGGAGCTGGGAGCAGATCCCGAGCTCTGGAACTCCGGGCTGGAATTTTTACCTTTCCCAGTTTGACCTGGCTGAGATTTTTCAGAACAATCAGGGGGGAAAAATCCCCCAAAAGGAGCAAAAGGGGAAAATTTCCAGTGGCTCTTTCCAGAACAAAATGGCATTTTTCTTTTCTCTATAAATATATATATATATATATATAAAATACAAATTCAAGAAGCAAAATCCCCTGAAAAGAGCAGAAGGGGGAACATTTCCAGTGGCTCTTTCCAGAACACAGTTGCATTTTTTTTCCTCTATAAATATATATATATATATATATATATATATATATATATATATATATATAAAGTAGAAATTCAAGAGGCAAAATGCCCTAAAAAGAGCAGAACGGGGAAAAATTCCAGTGGTTCTTTCCATAACAAAGTTGCATTTTCTTTTCTCTATAAATATATATATATATAAATATATATATATATATAATACAAATTCAAGAAGCAAAATCCCCTGAAAAGAGCAGAAGGGGGAACATTTCCAGTGGCTCTTTCCAGAACAAAGTTACATTTTTTTTTTCTTCTATAAATAGATATATATATATATATATAAATATATATATATAAAGTACAAATTCAAGAGGCAAAATGACGTTGTAGTGAGTGTCTGGAACTTCCTACACTGGAGACTTTTCTGGACAAGTGTAAGAATCACCCCTCGTTTCCAGCTAGGTGACCCTGCCTGGGACAGAATTGCTTCTCAGTCTAACTTTTTTTTATTTTTAAATACCTTATTAGAGTATCTTAATGCCATTGTGTTTAAAAAAAAAAAAAAACAAAACAAAAAAAAAAATGCTGGTATGTAATGCAAGTACATGAATAGCCAAAGTTTTCAGTAATTGTTCAGTGTTACTAAATTTTGCTTTTATTTAACCTTCTGAGATAACATTTAGGAAGACCTTCAGCGTGTAAACCATCCTGAAAATTCAAAGTACGAGCGACTGGATTAGGGCAGGGATGGAGTTGCTGGAGCACATTTCAGGTTTGAATAGAAACAGGAGGCAAAAAAGATGCAAAATTTCCTTTGCACTGTCCTGACACTTCAAAGTGACTCTTTGGGAATTGTTATTCAAACATCATGAAGGTCTTTCCTGAAAAATCAGGTAACTTTTTTCTATTGCTTCGATTTTTAAAAAAAAAAAAAAAAAAAAAAAAAATTACGACAAAATAAAAATAAAAAAAAATCTATGTATTGCAATTTTTTTTTTTAAATGGGGTGGGAATAGTTAAAGAAAACTATTTTATGTAAGAACTGACAGAGGGATTTTGCTTTGTATAATGCAAGCTGGCTTTCAAAAAAGCATTGTAGCAAATTATTCAAGTCAATCATATGTTAATAGTTATGTGCAACCAGACATGCAAAACAATTGTATTTTTTTAAATAAATATTTTTAACAAAGTTTCTGCTCTTTTGACTGTTTTTTTTTAACTTTCAGTAGAGAAAATAGTCACAGCTGCAGGGGATGTGATAAGCAGGGAGCTCATCAGACATCGAGGTAAATTGTATTTTAAAGTGTTTAGCTAAATCAGGTGCTGTTCTGGTGAAAACCTCCTTAAAATGGGATTTTTATTCCCTCTAAGTAGCCAAAATGCAGATTGGAATTACCAAACCAAGTAAATGTGATGGTGGATTTTATTGAGGAGAGATTGAGCTGGGTTTTGTTTCTACCAAATCCGCCAGGCCGGAATGAGAGATGATTCCAAAGCCCAAACTGGGGCGATTCCTTCCCAAATTTTGGTGCTGGGAGGGGCTCAGGGGAGGACAGGCCGAGGGTTGATTTTGCTGTAAATGGGATTTTGCTGTCTGGGGGGTGTTTTATTCTTCTGGGCAGGTCCAGGAGAGGAACACCGGCATCCTGTGGAGCTGGGGAAGAATTCCAGCCTGGATGGGGCTGGAGGGATTTAAATGGGCTGGAATGAAATCTCCCAAGGGTTTGGGGTGGCAGCAGCTTCAAACCCTCCTCGTCCCATGGGCAGGGACACCCCGTGCCAGGTGCTCCAGCCTGGCCTGGGATTAGGTTTGATTTCCATGGAGGATCCCAGAAGGAATTCCAGCTGTGGGTTGGAGGGTGTCCCTGAATCCAGGGATGAGCTCAACACGATCCCAACTCGCCTCGAGGGAGGAAAATGGCAATTCAGCAGCTCCAGGCTCTGTGCCACGGGAATTTTGGGGGATATTGGCTGGCAGGGAAGAGCTGCTGCTTGGAAAAATGGAAATTTCCCGGAGAATCCCTGGCTGTCCCATCCCTGCAAGTGTCCAAGGCCAGGCTGGAGGACCTGGGACAGTGGGACATGGAGTGAGGAGGGTTTTAAGATCCTGCCATCCCAAACCCTTCTGGGATTTCATTCCAGCCAGAGATTCCAACCCCAGAGCAGATCCTGGGATTTCATTCCAACTCTGGCAGAGATCCCAACCCCAGAACAGATTCTGGGATTTGATCCCAATCCCAGAGCAGATCCTGGGATTTGATTCCAACCCTGGCAGAGATTCCAGCCCCAGAGCAGATCCTGGGATTTGATTCCAGCCCTGGAAGAGATCCCAACCCCAGAGCAGATCCCGGGATTTGATCCCAACCCCAGAGCAGATCCCGGGATTTGATCCCAACCCCAGAGCAGATTCTGGGATTTAATTCCAACCCTGGCAGATTCCAGCCCCAGAGCAGATCCTGGGATTTGATCCCAACCCCAGAGCAGATCCTGGGATTTGATTCCAACCTGGCAGATTCCAGCCCCAGAGCAGATCCCGGGATTTGATTCCAACCCCAGAGCAGATCCCAGGATTTGATCCCAACCCCAGAGCAGATCCTGGGATTTGATCCCAACCCCAGAGCAGATCCTGGGATTTCATTCCAGTCCCAGAGCAGATCCTGGGATTTGATCCCAACCCCAGAGCAGATCCTGGGATTTCATTCCAGCCCCAGAGCAGATCCTGGGATTTGATTCCAGCCCTGGCAGAGATCCCTTTCAGGCTTTGTGGGATTTAAGGTCTCTCCCAACTCAAACCGTTCCACAACTCTTCAAATGCCAAAAACAGATTAATTAAAAAAAACCAAAAAAACCCTGTTAATTTTCCTTTGATGAATTTAAAGCCTGGGAACTGGAGGTGTCGGAATGAGTGCCGTCAGCCAGCAATTAGCAATCAATCACCTTTAATTAAACACTGCTCTATATACACACGTACATATGTACATCACGTACAGCAGTTGAAGCAAGGAGTTGCATCCACAGCCACTCCTGGCAGGAGGAGCTTGGCATTCCCCAAAAATTCCAGTCCTTTCCTGGTGGCTGGGACAGGCCATGCGTGGGCTGTGGGAGTACCTTACACAAGGCACCTGGATGAGGAGATTGCACAGGTGAAGCAGCTGGAGCCTGGCTCCCAAAAAAACCTAAACCAAAACAAATTTAAAAAATCAAAAAATCCCTTATTTCTTGGAGCTTGGCTTGGAAGTTGGAAATAAAACCAACATTAAAATAAGACACTGCAGCTGGAGCAGCTCGAGGAGTGACTTAAAGCAAAATGAACCAGCAGAGCTCATTCTTGACTTAAAAAAAAAAAACAAAGATAAACCCTCCCCCCTGCCAGAAAAGATGAAAAAAAAATTAAAAAAGCAAATAATTACTTAAAATCATTGAAGAGGCCTGAGCATGCTGAGTAAGACACTGGTTAGTGTGGGATGGACAGGAATTATTAAGTGTGCAAAGTGAGGCCCTGCTGCCGGGAGGTGGCACAGAATTAATCACAAAAATAAATTAAAACCAGGATTGTGCTGCAAATTCCGGGGGGTTCCTGTGTGCCACAGGCCAGAAATAAAAAGTGACCGAGCCGGGGACATTCAGTCTTGGATGAGGAGCAGAGAGCAGCTTTTGCTTCCCGCCCTCTGTCCTGAGCACGTAGAAAAAAGTTCATTTGCAGAAGGAAAAAAGTTCATTTTCAGGAGAAAAAAGTTCCATTTTTTGGAGGGAAAAAAGTTCCATTTTCAAGAGGAAAAAAGTTTCATTTTCAGGAGGAAAAAAGTTCAGTTTGCAGGAGGAAAAAAGTTCCATTTGCAGGAGAAAAAAGGTTTCATTTGCACTTTTCAGGAGGAAAAAAGTTCCATTTTTTGGAGGAAAAAAAGTTCCATTTTTTGGAGGAAAAAAATTCCATTTTCAGGAGGAAAAAAATTCCATTTTCAGGAGGAAAAATGTCCCATTTGCAGGGGAAAAAAAGTTCCATTTGAAGGAGGAAAATCTTCATTTGCTGGAGGAAAAAAGTTCCATTTGCAGGAGAAAAAAGGTTTTATTTGCAGGAGGAAAAGAGTTCCATTTTCAGGAGGAAAAAAGTTCATTTGTAGGAGGAAAAAAGTCCAGTTTGCAGGAGGAAAAAAGTTCCATTTGCAGGAGAAAAATGTTCATTTGCAGGAGGAAAAAAGTTCATTTTTAGGAGAAAAATGTTCATTTGCAGGAGGAAAAAAGTTCATTTTTAGGAGAAAAAAACCTTCCATTTTTGGAGGAAAAAAGTTCTATTTTTTGGAGGAAAAAAGTTCATTTTCAGGAGAAAAAAAAGTTTCATCTTCAGGAGAAAAAAGTTCAGTTTCAGGAGGAAAAAAGTTCAGTTTGTGAGAGGAAAAAAAGTTCATTTTCAGGAGAAAAAAAACTTCCATTTTTTGGAGGAAAAAAATTCCATTTGCAGGAGGAAAAAAGTTCCATTTGCAGGAGGAAAAAAGTTCCATTTGCGGGAGGAAAAAAAGTTCCATTTTTTGGAGGAAAAAGTTCCATTTTTTTGAGGAAAAATTTCATTTTCAGGAGGAAAAAAAGTTCCATTTGCAGGAGAAAAAAAGTTTATTTTCAGGAGAAAAAAATAATATATTTTCAGGAGAAAAAAAGTTCATTTGCAGGAGAAAAAAAAGTTTCATTTCCAGGAGAAAAAAAATTTTATTTTCAGGAGAGGAAAAGTTCATTTTCAGGAGGAACTGCCGTGCCAGCATCCCCGCTCTTAGTGCCAGGACCAGGCTGGCACTCGCAGGACTTTGGGCACAACCCCCGTGCTCCGCCGGGCATTTGGGGCTCCATTTCCTGGGTCCTGCCTCTGCCCGCCCGCCGTGATTCGGTCATGACCTGCGGGGCTGGCGGGGGGTTCATTCGGATTATTCGGATTATTCGGATTATTGGGATTATTCGGATTATCGCTGGCACGGAGCTGCGCCCGCTCAGCGCTGGTACTGCCCCGCGTCCTCGGGCGTCTTCTCCGGGGAGGCCTCGTCCAGCTCTGCAAAACATTCGTTTTATTGACATTTTATTACGCTTTTATTGAAATTAAAGGGGCTGGCTGTGAGGTTTTCCCCTCGGGAATGTTGTGGTTCCGTCGCATCCCCGCCACGTCCGGGCAGCGCCGGGGATGGGCTCCACCTTGCAGGGCACTTCCAATGGTACCAGCCTTTCCATGAGGGAATTCCTGCTGATTCCCATTCCCGAGCCTCCCCAGCACAGCCTGAGGCCGTTCCCTCTCCTCCTGTCCCTGTTCCCTGGGATGAGATCCCAAATCCCCCCGGCTGTCCCCTCCTGTCAGGAGTTGTGCAGAGCCAGAAATTCCCCCTGAGCCTCCTTTGCTCCAGGCTGAGCCCCCTCAGCTCCCTCAGGACTCTCCATTCCCTTCCCAGCTCCCTCAGGACTCTCCAAACCCTTCCCAGCTCCCTCAGGACCCTCAAATCCCTTCCCAGCTCCCTCAGGACTCTCCAAACCCTTCCCAGCTCCCTCAGGACTCTCCAAACCCTTCCCAGCTCCCTCAGGATTCTCCAAACCCTTCCCAGCTCCATCAGGACTCTCCAAACACTTCCCAGCTCCTTCTGAACTCTCCAAACCCTCCCCAGCTCCCTCAGGACTCTCCAAACTCTCCCCAGCTCCCTCAGGACTCCCCCAACCCTTTCCCATCTCCCTCAAGATTATCCAAACATTTTCCCAGTTCCTCAGGATTCTCCCAGTCCTTTCCCATCTCCCTCAGAATTCTCCAGATGCTTCCCCAGCTCCCTCAGGATTCTCCAAACATTTTCCCAGCTCCCTCAGGACTCTCCAGTCCTTTTCCCATCTCCCTCAGGATTCTCAATTTTCCCAAGTCCTCAGAATTCTCCAAACCCTTCCCAGCTCCCTCAGGACTCTCCAAACCCTTCCCATCTCCTCAGGACTCTCCAAACCCTTTCCCAGCTCCCTCAGGATTTTCCAAACCCTTTTCCAGCTCCCTCAGAATTCTCCAAACACTTTCCCAGTTCCTCGGGACTCTCCCAACCCTTTCCCATCTCCCTCAGGACTCTCCAGTCCCTTCCCAGCCCCCAAACGGGGTCCAGGGCTGGGCACGGTCCTCCAGGTGTGACCCCACCCGTGCCCAGCCCAGCCCCAGCCACACCTGGGCGCGTTTTTTGCCTGCCCAGCTCTGCTCCTGTGCTACAAAAACAACCAGCAGCTCGGGCCTGAGGCGATCACCCAAAAATCCTTCATCAGCCAGGCTTTTTCCCGAGCCTGACAGCTGCTCTTGGATGGCAGCCCTGCTTATTCCCTGGATTTCAGCCAGGGAACAGCCCAGGGAAGCTGGTGCTGTCTGTGATTCCTGCTTTTTTCCCCTGCCTGCCCCGGCAGAAAAGAAAGCAAACCCTGAGCTGTGGCTGCCAAGGCTTTGTGGGCAAGACAAAGCAGGAAAAGGAGAGAGGAAGCAGCAGCAAAATAAACATTTCCTTGCATTTTGCTGGAATCTCTGTGTTGGAACTCAAAGTGTCTCTCAGACATTTTTGGAGGTTCCAGGCCTTGGTCAGGAGCATTTGAGACCCTGGCACAGCTGGAAACAGCTGTGATTTTGAGTTTGAGCCATGGAATGAGTTACCAACTTTGGAGGTGGAACAAGCAGTCACAAAATGTTAGATAGGATAGTAAAAGTAGTTACAAAACAGAGGGGAAATTTTTTTAGTATTGTACAGGTGGGGTTTAGCACCTGTACAGGAGGGTTTTTACTTTGTACATGGGGGTCTGAAGTTCTAAGATGGAGGAAAGTGGGCTGATCCTGTTCTTCCTCCTTCTTCTTCCTTGCCTCCATGTTCCTGGTGATGTTGGCACTCACAGATTGGTTTAGAGTAGAAAATCACCATTTAATATAGGTAATAGGCATTGGGGAAAACTGTAACCATGTAACACGTAATGTACCATATAAAAGATAGAAAATCACCATTTAATATAGGTAATAGGCATTGGGAAAAACTGTAAACATGTAACACGTAATGTACATATAAAAGATAGAAAATCACCATTTAATATAGGTAATAGGCATTGGGGAAAACTGTAACCATGTAACACGTAATGTACATATAAAAGATAGAAAATCCCCATTTAATATAGGTAATAGGCATTGGGAAAAACTGTGAACATGTCACACGTAATGTACCATATAAAAGACAGCAGCAGCCCTGGGTGGGGAGAGAAGGAGGAGAAGGAGAAGGAGAAGGAGAAGGAGAAGGAGAAGGAGAAGGAGAAGGAGAAGGAGAAGGAGAAGGAGAAGGAGAAGGAGAAGGAGAAAGAAGGAGAAGGAGAAGGAGAAGAAGGAGAAGCAGTCGGGGTCAGAGAGGATGTCAGGGTGTGTGTGTGCCTCTGCCTGAGCTGTGAGCAAACCACAGCAGCCCCAGGAGAAAATCTTTTAGATAACTCGCAATAAACTGCCTTGAGACCCAACAACGGAGACTGTGCAGTTTTTCTTTGGAATCACGGGTTGGAGGAGGAATTTCACCTCCACACGGGACCCCAGAGCCGGGCGGGGGCTCCCACATCTGCAGCCAGGCTGGTGCTGCTCTCGCTCCCGTCCCAAGCTGCGCTCGGGGCTGGGGATGCCTTACCTGGGCAGGGCTTGGGGTACATCCTGTGGAAAAACACCAGCAGGGCGTAGAAGGTGAAGGCCAAGCACCCAAAGATCATCCCACACACCAGGAAACTGTAGCTGCCCCGATCGTGGATAATCTGCGGCGGGGTGGGAAATAAAAAACGGGATCAGACATCACTCAGGGCCGAGGCTGGGGCAGCGCCCAGAAGCAGAACTGAGGTTGTTTTTTTTTAAAATCCCAAATTTATTTTTGGGTTTTGCCGCCTCCTGGCTACTCACCGAGCCCACCAGCAGCTGCAGAACCATCTCTCCGATGCCAGCCCCGGTCACCAGCACGGTGGTGGCACAACCTGCAAGGGAACGGGGCACGGGGTGGCACGGCGGGCACGGCCACGCCGTGCTCCTTGGGAAGCTTTTCCGTGGATGTCGCCACACAAACGTCACCGAGGCTCAATGCACGTTCCCACTTCATGCTGAAAACGCCTCTGCAGAGCTGCAGCAGCGCAGGAAGGTGAGAGCGATAAAGTAAAAAAAAAAATAAAAGTAATAAAGTGAAAGTAAAGGAAAAAAAATTTCAAAAATTGAAGTAAAAAATAAAAAAAATTGAAGTAAAAAAATTCAAAACTCGAAGTAAAAAATTCCCAAATATTGAAGTTAAAAAATTCAAAAATTGAAGTAAAATAAATTCAAAAATTGAAGTTAAAAAAATTCAAAAATTGAAGTAAAAAACATCACAAATTGAAGTAAAAAAATCAAAAATGGAAGTAAAAAAAATTTCAAATATTAAAGTAAAGAATTTCAAAAATTGAGGTAAAAAAAATCAAATATTGAAGTAAAAAAATTCAAAAATTGAAGTGAAAAGAATTCAAAAGTGGAAGTAAAAAAAATTCAAAAATGGAAGTAAAAAAAATTCAAAAATTGAAGTAAAAAAATTTCACAAATTGAAGATAAAAAATTCAAAAATTGAAGTGAAAACAAAAATCAAAAATTGAAGTAAAAAATTTCAAAAATTTAAGTTAAAAATTCAAGAATAGAAGTTAAAAAAATTCAAAAAATTGAAGTGAAAAAAAAATTTCAAAAATTGAAGTTAAAATATCCAAAAATTGAAGTAAAAAATTTCAATCTGCTGTCACCTTCTGTGCTGGCAGAGCTGATGGTGCCTCTTGCTGGAAAGGTTTTTGTTTTCTGCCTCGCTGCCCTCAAGGACGACGCTGGCAGGGAGCTCTGGGGGACTGGCCAGGCTCTGGTGATGTTTTCAGAATTATCTCCAAAGCACCTCCTGCCACTCCCTGAACTCCCGAAACCAGGAGCCGAGGCTGGGCTCCTGCCTGGACTCTTTATAATTGATTCTATTTATTTTAGTCATCAGCAAAACAGAGAATTGCACCCTCTGCTGAAAAAGCAAAGCTGAACTTCCAGGCCCCTTGAGGGAGGAGGGGATGAGCTGAAAAAAGGGGATGGGATCTAAAAATGCAGCTGGTTAAAGGGTGTCGGAACTCAAAATGTCCCTCAGACATTTCTGGAAACAGCTGGAAACAGCTGTGATTTTGGGTTTGAGCCATGGAATGAGTTATCAACCTTGCAGGAAGAACAAGAAGTCACAAAAGTTTAGATATTAGAGTAGAAGTAGTCACAAAGTAGAGGGAAGAATTTTTGAGTGCTGCACAGGGGGGTTTTGGTTTTGTACATGGGGGTCAGAGGGTTTAAGATGGATTTGGGATCTGGGCCTGCCCTGTCCTCCCTCTTTCTCCTTCCTCACCTCCATGTTCTTGGTGATGTTGGCACTCACAGATTGGTTTAGAGTAGAAAATCACCATTTAATATAGGTAATAGGCATTAGGGAAAACTGTAACCATGTAACACGTAATGTACCATATAAAAGATAGAAAATCACCATTTAATATAGGTAATAGGCATTGGGGATAAACTGTAACCATGTCACACGTAATGTACCATATAAAAGATAGAAAATCACCATTTAATATAGGTAATAGGCATTGGGGATAAACTGCAAACATGTAACACGTAATGTGCCATATCAAAGACAGCAGCAGCCCTGGGCGGGAGAGAAGAAGCAGTCGGGGTCAGAGAGGATGTCAGGGTGTGTGTGTGCCTCTGCCTGAGCTGTGAGCAAACCACAGCAGCCCCAGGAGAAAATCTTTTAGAAAACTTGCAATAAACTGCCTTGAGACCCAACAACAGAGACTGCTGAGCCTTTCTTGGGAAGCTCGGGCTGGAGGAGAAGATTTTCCACCACACGGAGCCCCTGAACCAGGCCGGGGCTCCCACAAAAGCTCAGCTCACCTTGGTACTGCAGGATGTCCTCGGTGTAGGCCAGCATGCTGGGGAAGGTGCTGCTGAGGAACAGCCCCAGGGATGCTGTGCCCACAAACAGGAAAACCACGCTGGAGGAGAAAATCAGGAGCAGCAGGAAGGTGATGAGGACCCCGACCTGTGAGCAGCACCCAAAAAAAAAAATCAGTCAGAAAAATGCTGAGTGCGACAGGGTTCTAGAGTTTGGTTTTATTGGGAAATGTTCTGGAAGAGAAAAAACGTTTATTTTTAGTGGGAAATAGTCGGGAAGAGAAAATGGGAAAAAAAAATCAGTGTTTGGGAAACTGAATAGCCAAAGAAAATCCATCTGGCTTTAACGAATTTGCTGATTTTCATTATATAATTATATGTTAATATTTTATATTACATTATATAATTATGTATTAATATTATTAATATTATATAATTATATAATATATATTAATATATATCAATATATATTAATATATTATATTAATATATATTAATATATATTTATATTACATATTTCATTATGTAAAAACTTAAGGTTTTATCTGAAAAATATACTTTTAAATACACTAGTACCTTCCACAATATTTGCATGTCTTAATCACTAATAATTCTTTATTGTGCTGAGTAACACTGAAGTCGCTCTCCATAATTACAGAATTAACTCTAAATAACTGCTGAGAAAGCAGCCACAGCATTAAAGCCAAAGGGAAGACTGAATTTAAATCAACTTTCCCTCACCTCTGGCTTGTAGGGGAAATAACCAAAAACTCGGGGAAAAGCCCGAGTGATCCAGGGCAGAGTCAGCAGAGGGAGCTCTGAGATCCCAGCTCAGGAGAAATTTGGATCCTAAAGAAGCCAAATTCGAGCTGGAATTTGTTATGATGATGCTGCTGGATCCTACAGCAGCTCCCAGCACTGCACAGGGTCGCTGTCAGCCAGGTGGATTTTGACTCAGAACACCTCAAAGTCTTCTCTCCACCCTGTTAGATGGGTATTATAACACACTGTAATGTGCTATATTATCAAAATATAGCCACCAAATCGCTTCTGGTTTAAATAAATTAGAAGTTAACTCCTGCTCGTGCTTTTTTCTCTTTGTGAGAAGTGGGATTGGGATCATCCCTTCCCCGTTTTCTGCCATGTCCTCACACAGATCTTCCTTATGCATCCCAAAAGGATTCCTGCCCCTCTCCCAGGGTGTTTTATTGACTTCAGCACGCTTTGCTGCAGCCCAAGCAGAGAATTTACAGCGTGACCTGCCTTCCCTTCCCCGTGGCTATCCCAGGAATTCAGCTCCCCGCGGATGAAGGAGTCACCGTGCCAGGTCAATAAAATGGGCACTTCTTTAGGGCCAGCTCTCCCTGCTGCTTTCCCAGCTGAGGAGCAGGCTCAGGAAAGCCGGGCAATCAAATTTTAAATCGTGGCTACCTGGAGGGCACCTTGCCCACCCTACCTGTGCAAACCCCCAGGTGTGAGAGGAGCCGGGGCTCCAAACCCATCCACGGAGATCCAGGAAAGGAATTAACCCCCGTCCTTACCACGTTGATGAAGACCATGGTGGCTGGCTTCATCCTGTAGGACACGGGGATGGAGATGAGCCTGCCCAGGGTGATGAAGCCCCAGAAGAGGCTGGGCAGGTACCCGGCCACCTTGTGCACCACGGCCAGCGGCTCCTCCACGGCGTAGCTGTACACGAAGCCCGAGTATTCTCCCTGCAGGAAAAACCTCCCTGTCACATCCCCGTGGGCACCTCGGGCTCCTCTGTCCCTCAGCTGTGTGGTGGAAGGGTTTGCAGGTCCACCTGCAGCAGCAGTGGGGTTTGGTCTGTCCTAAAAGGGCAAAGCTCCACAGCTGCTCCAGGGAAAAGCCCAGGCTGCAGAGATCCTCCCTCCCCGAGGGGCTGCCCGGCCCTCTGGGGGCTCCACACTCTCCAAACGTCACATTTAGAGCTCAGGGTTGCTTATCCTCCGAGATGGAGGGCTTGGGAAATTCCCATAGCTGTCTAACCCTTCTCACCATTAACCCCTGAGGTACTGGAAATGCAGGTGAGCCGGTGGGCAGAAATGCTGATGTCTGAGTCCAGTTCAGCAGGCTGAATGATTTCTTTATTATAACTATAATATAATACATTAATATACTATTTAAAGGAGATATTAAAACTACAAACCTACTTTTTCTAACTACTATTACTAACAACTGACCCTCTCTGGAAAGTCCAGCCCCAGGTGGGTTGGATTGGCCACCAGGCTCAAACAATCCTCACCAGAATCCAACCCAGCAATCATCCCAGGTAAACAATTCTCCAAACACATTCCACATGGGAAAAACAAGGAGCAGAAATAGAAATTGTTTTCTCTTTCTTCTCTCTGTGCTCCTCTGTGAAAAACCCTGAGAGAGAGAGAAGAATGTGCCTGCCTGCCACACTGAGGAGCCCCTGGGGGTGTCACAGGGATTTGGAAGGGAAAAATCCAGAGATTTGGGCAACTGAACTCACCACGATCCCGTCAGTCATGAAGAGAACCAGAGCCCCGGTGATGTGCACGGCGAAGTAGGTGAAGGAAACCCCTTGGAAGTTCTTGCTTTGGCAGCAGCTGAACAAATCCTCGTGACCTGGTGGAGAACAAACAATGCAAAGCAAACCTGACCAGACCCCGGGGCTGGGTGGTTGCCAGCCCTCAGTGGGGTTTGGTTGGTGGGACAGCTGCAGGACAGACCCAAGCAGGACCCCGAACGTGGGACACTGCTGAGCTCGGGGGGCTCCACCTTCACCTTCACCTTCCTCTGGGCTTCCAGAAGGAAATGGGAATGGCTGTGGGGTCTGCCCCCAGCCTGGGATCCTGGATCCCCACAGCCTCACATCCTGGTTCTTTGGGGTACCTGCTGCCCACACCCCCAGGGATCCTGGGCTCTCTTCACCCCAAAACCCTGGCTCTTCACACCTCAAAATCCTGGCTCTCCATACCCCAAAATCTTGGGTTCTCCACACCCCAAAATCCTGGCTCTCCTCAACCCAAAACCCTGGGCTCTCCTCACCTCAAAATCCTGGGTTCTCCACAACCCAAAATCCTGTGTTCTCCACACCCCAAACCCTGACTCTCCACAATCCAAAATTGTGACTCTCCACATCCCAAAATCCTGGTTCTCCACATCCCCAGGGATCCTGGGCTCTCCTCACCCCAAAATCCTGGCTCTCCACACCCCAAACCTTGGGCTCTCCACACCCCAAACCTTGGGCTCTCCACAATCCAAAATCCTGTCTCTCCACACCCCAAAACCCTGTGCTCTCCACATCCCTGGAGCCGCCCCACAGGGCAGCCCTTCCCAGGAGAGCTCCCATTCCTTGGATAAGGGATCCTGCACCCAACAAGGCACCTTTGGGAAAGGGGGACACACATGGAGCTTGGCATCGCCCCTGAGCTTGAAGAATTCCCTGAAATCCCCTTTCACTGCCCAGGGGCAAAGCCATCTTTCCAGGAATAACACGGAACACTCCCCATAGTGCTAAACTTTATTTACTTCTGAGATTCACTGTTTGCCCAAAGAATTGACTGTGACACGTCTCTCCTGGCTAGGAAAGAACAATGTCACCATTGTCCCCAAGACAGGGTGCAGCCACGAGGTCAAGAGCAAACTAATGCTGGATTTCACTTTTCCCCTCAAACAAGGAAGGGAAATTTGTTATTTCTTATTCCTTCCCCATAAAAATCAGTGTCTGCAGTACAATGACCACTTTTAAACTGAATAATCAGTAAAAAATGTGACCCAAAACCAGGAGGGGATGAAGGGGCACAACTGCCACGTGTCCCTAAAGGGTTGGAGGGCCTAAGGTTGGCTTTAGGATGGATTGGAGAAACATGGAATAGAGAAACAAAACCTGGAGGCCTCATTGGGATTGGGATACCTGTCGGAGTCCAGCACATCCCTCTGGCTGCCCTGGCTGTCCCCAGACCCTGGCAGGGAGCTCGGAGACCTTGGCAAGAAGTCAAAACTATCTGCGGCTTCCATTTTAGCCCCTGGAAAAAGCTGCCAACACTGTATGACGAATTACAAACCACAAGGGTTTGAGTGGTGCGGTAGTTGAATTAACACAGGGTGAAAAAGTAGAATTTTGGGGTTTTTAGGATATAATTCAGGGGGTCAAGATGGAGGAATTTGAGCGTGTCCTGACCTTCTTGCCCTCCATGTCTTGGTGTGATGGTGACACTTTTCTATTGGTTTAAGGCAGAGATTCACAGTCTAACACGGGGCATGGGAATAGATAATAAATTGTAAACACAGACACGTAGTTTTGAGTCTATAAGGTGGGAGCTGCCCGAGGCTCAGGGCAGAATGGCATGGTGGACTTGCTGGGCAGAGCTCAGCAGGTCAGAGAAAGAATGTTTAGATAAGGAGAAATAAACAACCTTGGAAGCGCAATCGGAACATTCCAGACTCCTTGGGCAGAAGGACTAGGAGGCAAAGACTCTTCATGATCTCAGGGTCACCCTGACCTTCAGAACCCTGAGAAATCGACTGATACCAACCTCTGTTCAAGATTCCATCTAATCTGAGGACAATTGGCCACCAAAATGGATTATTGGGTATTCCCAGATGAGATCACACTTTGTTTCCTCCTCGGACAGCAGCGCTGGATCTCCCGTTACACCCAGACACGCTCACATACGGATTTTTCTCCCCAAAACCCACCAGAGAGGCACCTCCAGCTCACCTGCAGCTGGGTGGGGTCTCGGGCCAGCGGTGGAGAGCTCGTCCTTGTCCCCAGGCCGTGTCTCCAGGGCCAGCTCGTCAGCTGACAGCAGCGGGTGGCTGCTGCCGTTGAAGCAGGGCACCATCCGCTCCTTGTAGAGCAGGAAGAACACAGCGATGGGCACGGGCAGCTGGGGAGGGGACAGAGGGGTGGGTGAGCACCTGAACATCCCAAAATCCGCTCCTTGTAGAGCAGGAAGAACACAGCGATGGGCACGGGCAGCTGGGGAGGGGACAGAGGGGTGGGTGAGCACCTGAACGCCCCAAAATCACCCCAAAATCTGCTCCTTGTAGAGCAGGAAGAACACAGCGATGGGCACGGGCAGCTGGGGAGGGGACAGAGGGGTGGGTGAGCACCTGAACGCCCCAAAATCACCCCAAAACCACAGCCCAGCTCCCCCAGCAGCAGAGTTTTGAGGTGCTGGGCTCAGATCCTGGAGGGGAGGTGCCTGAAGGGAATTTCGAGAGCAAGGAGAGATGGAGATGGGACAAGGAGATGCTGAGGGAGGGATGGAGGCTGGGTGGGATTGGAGAGAGGGGAAAAGAGGGAGAAAACTGTGAGAAAAGTCTCCTGATCTGCTGGGGCATCCCCAGCCAGGCCCAGGTTCCAGCATTGACCTGGAAACGGGCAAAGGGAGCCCAGGACAAAGCTCCCAAAGTGCCAGCCCTACAAACCCCAGAAGTTCTGGTGTCCAACCCTTGTGTGCTGCTGCTGCCCAAGGAGTGGAACGCCGGAGCAGCTGGAATCGTGCAGCAGGGAAGCGGGAGCTGCTGGCAGCCCCAACCCCAGCCATTAGCAGGGGTTGCTCAGCACCTCCTGAGAGAGCAGCCCGTGGTTCCCAGGCCAACAGCGACAGCCCAGTGACCTACAGCAGCCCCTTGGCACAGCCTGAGCGCAGCAGGGAGGGCCCAGCCACAGCTCTGAGGTTCCTCTGTGCATCCAGGGATGCTCCAGCGCGCCACGGTCCCACCACAATTCCCACAGTCCTATTGCAAATGCAGGCGAAGCCAATGGGCAGAAATGCTGAGGTCTGACTCAATGCAGAAGGCTGAATTATTTCTTTATTATAACTATGCTAAAATACATTAATACACTATATAAAAGGAGGATACTAAAACTACAAACCTACTTTCTCTGACTCTAACACAACTTGTGACCCTCTCTGGATAGTCCAGCCCCAAGTGGGTTGGATTGGATTGGGTTGGATTGGATTGGATTGGTCACCAGGCTCAAACAATCCTCACCAGAATCCAACCAAGCACTCACCCCAGGGAAACAATTCTCCAAACACATTCCGCATGGGAAAACAAGGAGCAGAAAAAGAAATTGTTTTCTCTTTCATTTCTCTGTGCACCTCTATGAAAATCCTGAGGGAGAGAAATGTGCTGCCACACAGTCCCACATCCATGGGGCAGCAGGAGCCCTGGCACGGTGATCCCATGGGATGAGCCCGCTCCCAGCACACACCCACAACTCCGTGGTGCCTGCAATTCCACAGGGAATGGATCTTTTTTTTTTTTTTTTTTCCTTTTCTTTTAATTTTTTTTTTTTTTTGGTGAGGAAACAGAGGGGAGCAAGCGAAGCTCTCCCGTCTCCTCCCAGCACAGCCCAGCGCTGTTTACACTGCAACCAACTGGGGGAGAAAGCCAGGAAATCCTAAGTGACAGCTCATTCCCTTGTTTTCTACATGTCTGGGAGCAAGTGTGAGCTCCAGCTCCAAATTTCCTGCCTTTTGTTGGCTCGTGGCATGATTTAAATGTATGGAGAATTCCCCCCCCTCGTCCCTCACAGCCCGCCCCTCGCGCCTGAATTCATTTATGAGGTTTGCATTGTTCTGGGAACAATGGGAATAGGAACAGGGAGTTCGGTCCCATGGAAGAAAAACGCATTTGCTTGATAGTTCTGATCCTTCCGGAGGTCAGGACCAGATTTCATGCTTCTGAATTGCAGATTTAGCAAAAATACTGCCCCCCCTCAGAGGGCCTGGCTGTGCAGATAACGGCCCTGGGCACTCCCAGCCTCCAGGACGAGGCCCCAGTTTGGGAATCCCCAATTCCCAGTCCCACTCTGGACTTATCCCTGGGCCCCAGTTTGGGATTCCCCAATTCCCAGTCCCACTCTGGCCCGAGTTTGGGATTCCCGAATTCCCAGTCCCACTCTGGGTGTATCCCTGGCCCCAGTTTGGGATTCCCCAATTCCCAGTCCCACTCTGGGTGTATCCCTAGCCCCAGTTTTGGATTCCCCAATTCCCAGTCCCGTTCTGGATTTATCCCTGGGCCCCAGTTTGGGATTCCCCAATTCCCAGTCCCACTCTGGGTGTATCCCTAGTCTCCAGTTTGGGATTCCCCAATTCCCAGTCCCACTCTGGGTGTATCCCTAGTCTCCAGTTTGGGATTCCCCAATTCCCAGTCCCACTCTGGGGTTTTCCCTGCTCTCCTCACCCTCACCTTTAAATCCAGCAGGTCCTTTTTGCTTTAACCAGGCTGGGACACTTTTAGAAGTTCCCACCCATGGCTGTGGCCACCCCATCCCATCCCTGCCCATCTCTCCTGGACTGCCAGATTTTGGTGACATTTTCTCCCAGAATTCCTTCCCTGGCTATTTTTTGCTGCTTTTCTTTTTTTTTTTTTTTTTTTATGACAGGAAGATTTTCTTTTCCCAAGGGAAAAAGGAGCACCAGAGCATTCCCCACCAGGAGCCAAGGGCCAAGCAGAACCCCCAATTCCCAGCACCCAAAACTTCCGAAATTCCCGGAGCTGCTCCCTCCCTCACCTGTCCAAGTAGAACCCCCAATTCCCACCACCTAAAACTTCCCAAATTCCTGGAGCTGCTCCGTCATCTGGCCAAGCAGAACCCCCAATTCCCAACACTTCCCAAATTCCCAGAGCTTTTCTCTCACCTGTCCAAGCAGAACCCCCAATTCCCAACACTTCCCAAATTCCAGAGCTGTTCTCTCACCTGGCCAGGCAGAACCCCCAATTCCCAACACTTCCCAAATTCCTGGAGCTGCTCCCTCCCTCACCTGGCCAGGCAGAACCCCAATTCCCAACACTTCCCAAATTCCAGAGCTGTTCTCTCACCTGGCCAGGCAGAACCCCAATTCCCAACACTTNAACCCCAATTCCCAACACTTCCCAAATTCCAGAGCTGTTCTCTCACCTGGCCAGGCAGAACCCCAATTCCCAACACTTCCCAAATTCCAGAGCTGCTCCCTCCCTCACCTGGCAGCTTTTACCCATCCTCAAAACCTGCACAAGCTCAGCCTGGGGATGTTCCAGCTCCTTCCTTCACTCCTGCTGCTATTTCTGCCTGTTCCCCCAGGAATCCGGGATCCTTCCCTGCCATTGTGTCCCCGGCTCCTCTGCAGGAGTGTCCCACACTTCCCTTGGGAAGCACCTTCCTGACAAACACTTCCCTCATTCCCAGCCCCTTGCCGCGGGCTGCGCGATGAAACTTCCCATCTGTGGGGCAGCCGAACTCTAAAATATGGCGTTTTGTTCCAAAATCGGGATGAAAAGGCAAAAAATTGTTCTCGCTGGGTGGAAGATTCTGGCTGGGAGCGATCCAGGCGCTTTGTTTGGATTGTGCTGAGCTGCTTCGTTTTCCCAAAGCGAACCCGTTTTGCCTGGAAAACATCGGCACAGCTCCGCTGGCAGCTCTGAGCGCCAGAGCCGCATGGAGACATTTCCACAAACAAATGCAGGAGCTCGAAATGAATCATTGCAGCTCGTGCCTCGTCAGAATCCACACAAAAAACGGGCTGGAAATGTGGGATTTGGCCATTTTATACCCAAGCTGCTGTTTCCATTTTTGGTGTTAACTCTTTTTCATCCACATCCCTGCAGGTTTAAAAACCCCTTCCCATCATCTTCCTCTGCTGTTTCCACTTTGAAAAGGATTGGGAGTTTGGGGATGAGCTGCTCCCAGCATCTCCAGCAGGCTGGGGTGGTTAAAATAAAGTAAAATAAAGTAATATAAAATAAAATAATAGAATAGAAAATAAAATAATTTAAAATAAAATAATCTAAAAGAAAATAATCTAAAAGAAAGTAATACAAAAAATACAAAATAAAATAGTACAAAATAAAATAAAATAATAGAATAGAATAGAAAATAATATAATAAAAAATAAAATGATACAAAATAAAATAAAATAAAATAATACAAAATAAAATAAAATAAAATAATACAAAATAAAGTAAAATAAAATAAAATAAAATAAAATAAAGCCACATTTCTAGGAAGAAATTCCTCCTAAAGTCCCTTTGAAATGTCCCCAGGGCGGTGAGGACCCCACAGTGCCACATTTTCCACAAACACCTGCAGGGATGGTGATGCCACCCTTCCAGTGAAGGAAAAACTCTGGATCTGAGCGGGGTTTGCTGGTGCAGCTCGTGCCTGGGAGGTGCTGGAGGGACCAATGCTCCCAGAGAACTGGGACAAACCCCGGCATCCATCCCAGCACACCCAGCAGGGAAGCGCCCTGAGGAAAATGGGATTTGGAACCCACGGCCCTTTCCCTGCGTCCCCCAGACACCACAAACCCCGCTGTGGCAAGCACATTTTTTCTCTCCTAAGATTTTTTTTTTATAGAAGAGTATAGCAGGAAAAAAGAGAAAATTTTTATTTTTACTCTTTGTTTTTTTCACGTGGAATGCGTTTGGAGAATTGTTTACTCGGGGGGATTACTTGATTAGATTCTGGTGAGGATTGTTTGAGCCTGGTGGTAAATCAGATCCACCTGGGGCTGGAGTTTCCAAAGATGGTCATGAATTGGGAGTTAGATTTGGTAGTTAGAAAAAGTAGGCTTGTAGTTTTAGTATCTCCTTTAAATAGTGTATTAATGTATTATAGTATAATTATAATAAAAAAATCATTCAACCTTCTAATCTAGAGTCAAACATCATCATTTCTTTCCACCAGGTCTCAAGAGAGAGTCATGAGTTGTGAGTTAGATATGTTAGTTAGAAAAAGTAGGTTTGTAGATTTAGTATCTCCTTTAAATAATAAATTAATGTATTATAGTATAGTTATAATAAAAAAATCATTCAACCTTCTAATCTAGAGTCAAACATCATTTCTTTCCACCGGGTCTCAAGAGAGAGTCATGAGTTGTGAGTTAGTTAGATAAGGTAGTTAGAAAAGTAGGTTTGTAGTTTTAGTATCTCCTTTAAATAATAAATTAATATATTATAGCATAATTATAACCAAAAAATCATTCAGCCTTCTAAACTAGAGTCAAATGTCATCATTTCTTCCCACTGGGTCTCAAGAGAGAGTCAGGAGTTGTGAGATATGGTAGTTAGAAAAAGTTGGTTCATAGTTTCAGTATCTCCTTTAAATAATAAATCAATGTATTATAGTATAGTTATAATAAAGAAATCATTCAACCTTGTCATGTAGAGTCAAACCTCATCATTTCTGCCAAGCTGACCCGCCTTTCCGAGCCCCGCAGACGGGAACGGGACGGTCCCGGCCGTGCCCGCGGCACTTACGTTGATGAGGGCCATGATCCAGAAGGCGTAGGACACCCGCGTCACCACCAGGCCCTTCATGGGCAGCTCGTAGTGGGACAGGTTGCCCGGGTGGTGCGGCACCAGGGACTTGCGGATGTGCGGGAGGTTGCTGGAGGCGTTGGCCGTGCCGTTGGCCAGGATGCAGTTGGTGTCCGACAGGAAGGGGTCGGCGATCAGGGGGCTCAGCAACGCCCCGAAACCCACGAAGAAGTGCAAGGCCTGCAGGAGGTGACATGCTGGAGCAGGAGGGCGGCAGAGCCCCCCCAACTCCTCCTCCTCCTCCTCAGAGCCACAGAATTAAGTTGGAAAAGACTTTTGAGGTGATCGAGTCCAACCTGTGACGTGACACCAGCATGTCACCAGATCTGGTGCCACTTTCCTCAAAAACCTCCAGGGATGGTGATGATACCCTCCCAATGCCCAGCCACCCTTTCTGGGAAGAAATTCCTCCTGAAGTCCATCCTGAATGTCCCCAGGGTGGTGAGAGCCCCACAGTGCCACAGCCAGGCCTCCCAGGGATGATGATGCCACCTTCCCAGTGCCCAGCCGCCCTTTCTGGGAAGAAATTCCTCCTAAAGTCCATCCTAAACTCCCCCAGGGCAGTGAGGGCCCCACAGTGCCACAGCCAGGCTTTCCACAAACGCCTCCAGGGATGGTGATGCCACCTTCCCAGTGCTCAGTCACCTTTTCTGAGAAGAAATTCCTCCTAAACCTGCCTGGGGCGGTGAGAGCCCCCAGTGCCACAGCCAGGCCTTCCAGGGATGGTGATGACACCCTCCCAAAGCCCAGCCACCCTTTCTGGGAAGAAATTCCTCCTAAAGTCCATTGTAAACATCCCCAGGGCAGTGAGGATCCCACATTGCCACAGCCAGGCTCTCCACAAACACCTCCAGGGATGGTGATGCCACCTTCCTAATGCCCAGCCACACTTTTTAGGAAGAAATTCCTCCTGAAGTCCCTCCTAAAGCTGCCTCGGGGGGGTTGAGGAGCCCGCTCTCACCTGCAAGAAGATGGCAGAGTCCTTCTGGTAGATCTTGACCAGCTGCATGTTGGAGATGGTGTCGATGCAGCCCATGGCCAGCCCGGCCACGGCCATGACCACGGCCAGCAGCACCACGTTGTGGCACAGCGGGATGATGGCGAACACCAGCGAGATGGCCAGCGAGGAGGCGAACAGGGCCAGCAGGGACTGGGCCAGCCTGCGGAGGGGACAGCAGCACAGAATTAGGGCCACCACCAGAGCAGCAGCCACGTGTGGGAAATGGATTTACAGCGTGCTGTGGCCAAAGCTGATACACCAAGAACTTATGGTGATTGTCGGAATCTGAGGTGTTGATGATTCTGAGATTGTAAAAGTCTCTGTCTGTCAGCCCCCTGCCAAAGCAGAAGCTATAATTGGTCTGTGCTGGTTTCCAGGTTGTTTATTCTGTTGATCTCTCACATGTTCTGCTGCCCTGCCCAGCTCTGTCCTGCAGGGCAGCGTGTGGGGCTCTGCCCTCAGTGGGATGTGACAAACATTAAATACCAGAAACTCCCTGGGCTGCATTTACAAGAACGTGCCAATATCTGTCACCTACGTTGGACAGTGTGTCCCCAGCCTGAACCAACAGAAAAATGCCAACACCACAGTGAGACATGGAGGGCATGAAGAAGGAGAAAAAGGACAAGGCACACCCAATTTCCTCCAGCTTGTCCCCTTTGGACCCCTCATCTAGAATCCTAAAATTTTACTTTTGTACCCATGCCGCACTTAATTATTACTTATATCAAACACTCAGAGCTGGTAATTGATCCTGTAAGATTGAAAACTCTTCTCCATGGCCAGAGATCACAGCCAGTGTCTCTGGGGGCTCTGTCCAGGGGGTTCCTGACCCTGCCAGGGTCCCAGGGCAGCCAGAGGGATGCTCTGGATTCCCACCCAGCAGCTTCTCTGGGGACAGGAGAACCTGGCTTCAGGTGCCACCACCCGTTCCTGCCCCAGACCAGCTCTGCTGTCCCTCATGGGTCACCCAGAGCGACTGAATCCAAAGGAAGCAGCAAAATCTGCGTCCCTCAGGCACACTCAGCTCACAGCCAAACTCCAGGGATGCTCCCCAGCAGATTTCCATCTCCTCACTTGGAAAAGGTGACCTGTCCAGTGCTCCCTCCCAAGCAGCACCCGGGCCCTGAGGGCGGCGTAATTTGATTTATGAAGCCTTGGCAGGACGGCTCAATCCATCCATCCCTGAAGAAGGGATTGTACCGGAGCTCCTGGAGCCTGAACATTTATTATTCCCACACATTTGGAGGCTGCAAGGCTCTGAGCAACCTCCCCACAACACTCACAAGCTCCAAATATCCCAAATATTCCCTCCTGGCAGGGCTGTCAGTCCCCAGTGGGGCTCGCAGACACTTCACAAATCCCTTTTTCTCCAAAATCCCAAACACATCCTGGTTCACCACCAGCACCAAGCCCACTCTTTCCTCCCGAATCCCAGCTGAGGGGATCAAAGTTTGGGAATCTCCAAGCCCCGATGGGTTTTGTGCAGCCAAGGGCTGGAGCTTTGGGAAGGAGCAGGAATTCTGGCAGCAGGAATTCTGCATTTCCCTTCCCTGCTCCTCCAAGCATATGCGAGGCTGGCAGAGGCTCTGCTGCTGAGCCAGCACTGCCGGAGCTGTGGCAGAGCCACACGTGCTGTCCCCAAAATCCTGCTGGTCCCCTCACCCAGGCCACCCGGACAGCTCCACGTCCCACGGTGCTCCAACACCTTCTCTTTATCCACAGCGAGAGGTTTTTAAAGGATTCCCGGGGAATTCAGCCAGGATTCCTCTCAAATCACACCAAGAGGTTTTTAAAGGATTCCTGAGGAATTCACCCAGGGCTCCCAGAGGTTTTTAAAGGATTCTTTGGGAATTCAGCCAGGGCTCTCTTCAATCCTCACTGAGCGGTTTTTAAAGGAATCCTGGGGAATTCAGCCAGAGCTCCCCTCAATCCACACCGGGAGATTTTTTTAAGGATTCCTGGGGAATCCAACCCTCAGTCCACACCGAGAGGTTTTTAAAGGATTCCTGGGGAATTCAGCCAGGATTCCCCTCAATCCATACCGAGAGGTTTTTAAAGGATTCCTGGGGAATTCAGCC